TGTGTGTGTGTGTGTGTGTGTATGTGTGTGTGTGTATTTGTTAATTTGTTTGTTTGTTTGTTGTTGTTGTTGTTGTTGTTTTTTTTTTTTTTTTTTTTTTTTTTTCTTTTTTTTTTCCGTGCTGATTTGTGATCAGCCGGAATCATCGCATCTGTGAACCTCAATATCCTCAGCTCTTTTCAACCAGCTCGTACATTTATCATGTTTCCCGATGCTTCTGATTCCGTTGATGTTGAACTCTCCAAATGGAAGGCCTTTGTTATTACCATTCTTCCATGCCCTGTTCACCTGTACGCATCCATGGGCATGGTTGCTATAATGAAACCACTCCTTACATTTGACAAGTATAGAAAACTCAGCCCCCCTGATCCTAACCACGAGCCCAAACACATCCTAACTTCACCTCATCCCTCCCCCAGAATACCGCTCAGCCAATAAGTAGAGGATGGTGCGGCTAGAGGCCAAACACCTTGATCGAAAAATCCTCTTCCACCTCCCTTCACAGGCATCGGATCCCGGCTGCACCAGGTCCGACTAGAGGCAGAAGGCCGCAATAAGAGTTGCTATTTGTGCCAAACCGATGTCATGGTCCCTCTCATATGCGCCTTGCACACGCAGAATCACTCCTCCTAGTTGCTCCTGTCAAAACATAATATATGACCCTTGTAGGCTGTAGTGGGGCACCCTCCAAGGGGTATGACCCTTTTAGGGTTAGGCACGCGCCCTGCTGCCCGCACGCCTTGCTGCCTGCGCGCGCCTGCTGTCCGCGCGCCCTGCTGCCCGCACGCGCCCTGCTGTCCGCGCGCCCCTGCTTCCCGCGCGCGCCTGCTGCCCGCGGGCACTGCTGCACGCGCGCCCTGCTACCTGCGCGCCCTGCTGCCCGCGTGCGCCCTGCTGTCTGCGCGCTTGCTGCTCGCGTGCGCCTGCTGCCTGCGCGCGCCTGCTGCTCGCGCGCCTGCTGCTCGCGCGCCCCTGCTGCCCGCGCGCCCCTACTGCCCGCGCGCCCCTGTTGCCCGCGCACCCTGCTGCCCGCGCGCCCTGCTGCCCGTGCGCCCCTGCTGCCCGCGCGCCCCTGCTGCCCGCGCGCCCTGCTGCCCGCGCGCCCTGCTGCCCGCATGCCGTGCTACCCGTGCGCGCCTGTTGCCCGCGCGCCCTTGCTGCCAGCGCGCGCCTGCTGCCCGCGCGCCCTTGCTGCCCGTGCGCGCCTGCTGCTAGCACGCCCCTGCTGCCTGCGCGCAACCCTACCCTGTGCGCCCCTGCCGAGCCGCCTTGCCGAGACACGCCGCCAGGGCCTAGCACGGCACCTTGTTCCTAGCACTGCTACTACTACTGCCCTTCGTCACTGCCGCTAGGCCGCACTGCTCCCTATGGCGACACCCACTGTACTGACGTTTGACGCCGAGGGTCGCCCTATAGAGTTCGAGTCCTGGCTCGAGGACCTGCACCTATACCTGCAGAGTGTCACTCGGGACGACGTCTCCCTGTTCGAGCACACGTCGGGGACCTGCACATATACCTGCAGAGTGTCACTTGGGACGACGTCTCCCTGTTCGAGCACACGTCGGGGTCCCTTCAGGCCCCCGCGACTCTGGCTGAGCCTACTGCTGACGCTGGGGAGGAGGTGAAGCAGCAGTGCCAGGCTGACTGCTTTGCCTGCACACGGTGGACGTCACGAGACGCCACCGCCCGGCTTGCTGTCCGCACTCGCCTGCCGCTCGACCAGAGGGCCCACTTTTGCCAGGCGACGTCGGCCAAGGCTCTTTATGCTGTTGTGGTTAGGCGCTACTCCTCCCCCTCTTCTGCCACTCTAGGTCGTCTTGCCCTGCCGTTTCTCTTCACCGAGCTGTCCAACTTTCACACTGTAGCTGACCTCGTAACCCATCTGCGCTCCCTTGACTCCCGCTATTGAGCAGCCCTTGTCAAACTATGTTTTGCATAGTTTATATAACTGTTTGTAGTTAGTGTTAGTGTAGTTATATATTTGCTTGTTTGGTGGTGCACCTTTGCTAGTTTGCTATATGTACCTTATGTGCTATAGTGAACCCAACCATTCTCGCTTCCCTTGGCCACAATTCTCTCGACATACGTTGGCCTAGGCTCCTAAGCCTAGGCCCTAAACCTTACGCTAGTAATTTTACATTGTGACATGGTATCAGAGCGATTAAGTTCCTAGACCTAAGTCAATGGGCCCACCCTTAGCAACCGCCGTGACTCGCACTGCCCGTCGGGCGCCCGTCAATGCGACCGTCGCGAGCGTCGCCACGGCCACGGCGGCCGCAATGGCGAGCCTCGACGGTTCGCGGTCGCACCGTCGATCGTCGTCTCGCCGCCCGTCGCCCGGACGCACCTCGCCTCCCGCTCATCCCCTCGTCGCGGCTGCTCGCGTTTGCAGCGACGGTCGTTGTGGGGGGGAAGAGGGAAAAGGGAAGGTTGTGGTGGCGGACGGCCAGCAACGACCACCAAACCGCCAGCCGCCATCGCCCACGCACCTGCGACTCCGTCAGTCTCCCCGCTTTTTGTCGCCCCACCCGCTCCTTCGCCCGCCGTCGCTCTGCCCGTCGCATTTCCCCCGCCCCCTGCCCGTCACCCCCTCCGTTGCGAATGTTCGTGTGTGCAGCGGCGGTCGCTGTGGGGAGGAGAGGGAGGAGGGGAAGGGAGTGGCGGCGGAACGCTGTGGGGGGGAGAGGGAAAGGGGGAAGGGAGTGGTGGCGGAACGCTGTGAGGGGGAGAGGGAAAGGGGGAAGGGAGTGGCGGCAGCACACCAGCGACGACCACCACACACCGTCAGATCCCGCCCAGCCTGTAGCCCGTTTGCAGCTCATCCCACCCGCCGCGCCCCATCAGCTGCACCAGCAGCGCCACCGCCAACAGAGTCCCCGCCAGCAGGGACACCGCGAGCAGCGCCACCGCCAGCAGAGACCCCGCCAGCAGAGACCCCGCCAGCAGAGACCCCGCCAGCAGAGACCCCGCCAGCAGAGACCCCCGCCAGCAGAGACCCCGCCAGCAAAGACCCCGCCAGCAGAGACCCCGCCAGCAGAGACCCCGCCAGCAGAGACCCCGCCAGCAGAGACCCCCGCCAGCAGAGACCCCGCCAGCAGAGACCCCGCCAGCAGAGACCCCGCCAGCAGAGACCCAGCCAGCAGAGACCCCGCCAGCAGAGACCCCGCCAGCAGAGACCCCGCTGCAGGGACTACCATGGGTGGGGCAGGGGTGTGGAGGAAGGAGGGGGGGGGGGGGGGGGGGGGGGGGGGGGTACAAGGGGGCGGCTGTTATGGGGGGTGAGGTTAAGGGGGGGTGGTTGAATGGGTGTGGGGATTTGGGGGTTACTAAGAGGGGTTTCGTCGTGCTTGGCTCCCCCCCACCTCCTCTCCTCGTCACTCTCTCACCTCCCCCCTTTGTAAAAGGGGGTTACTACGAGGGTTTCGCCACGGGTGGCTCCCCCTCAGCTCCTCGCCTCATCCCTCTCTCACCTCCTTCTTCGTACTTCTCCCCTCTGCTCTCCTCTCTCCCTCTCGTCTCCTCCTCCTCACTTACCCCTCAGCCGTCTTCCTCTGCGCCAGGTGTACCCCTCCACAAGCGTTCTACACTTCTACCTGCAAACAGTTCAGGGGGCGTGTCAAACTATGTTTTGCATAGTTTATATAACTGTTTGTAGTTAGTGTTAGTGTAGCTATATACTTGCTTGTTTGGTGGTGCACCTTTGCTAGTTTGCTATATGTACCTTGTGTGCTATAGTGAACCCAACCATTCTCGCTTCCCTTGGCCACAATTCTCTCGACATACGTTGGCCTAGGCTCCTAAGCCTAGGCCCTAAACCTTACGCTAGTAATTTTACATTGTGACAGCCCTCACGCCAGAGTTTCTGGCTGAGAACCAGCCCCCCCTATACCTCACCATGTACTTCCTCACGACTCGCATCCCTCACACCCTTCGTGCTATTCGCGACCACTTCCTCTCCCTAGAACCCACTAGTCTCGACCTTGCCTCGTTTGAGACCCGTCTTCTCGAGGCCGAGACCACTGCCCGTGCTGTTGCTGCCTCCCGTGGCACCCCCCGCACCCCCTTGCCGGGTGCGCTCCCTCCCTTCTCGCGTCCTCTACTACCTCAGTTGATGATGTTGACCTCCACGGTACTGAGACGGTCGACGCTGTGTCCACTCCTGATGTGAGACGCGACGGCAGCGGTAGGTGAAGGCGCGTTGGAGTAGTGGAGGTGGCGATGGCGGTGTGAGGGGCGGGTGTGGTGGGGGTGGCGGGGGTGGCGGGGGTGGTGGGGGTGGCAGAGGTGGTGGGAGTGGTAGTGGTGGTGGAGCTGGCGAGAGTGGCAAGGGTGGCGAGGGTGGAGCAGTCGGCGGACGAGACGGTTCTTGGGATGGACAGCAGCCGGTAGAGGCTGCTAGTCTAGGTGCTTGTGAGTCTGCTAGCACAAGTGCAGTTCCTACGGAGGCTTTGCACACCTTCACTCTGGACTCAGGTGCGTCTCGCTGCTTCTTCCGCGACTACACTGTCAAGCTATATTTGTTATAGCTTATATTTGTTTGCCTAGGTGTACATTCTTGACCTAGGGTTAGGTTAGGGTTCACCGGATATATCTTGCTGTATGTTTCATTCCATAGTTAACTTTTACATTGTGACATGGTATAGAGCTAGGTTAACCCTAGCGAGATTTCCCCCTTAGGAAAAATCACTCGACTAAGTTATGGGCCCACCTAGTCGCGCCCCGTCCTAGACCGCCTGTAGCGCGCTTACCTTAGGCCCCGTCGCCCGTAGACCCCCCCCCCTCCCCCCGTCGCCCGTCGCCCGTTTCCCCCCGTCGATCGCTGCCCGTTTTCCTTTTTTTTTTTCCCGTCACCCGTCACCCGTCGTGGCTGTTAGTTAACGGGCCCCGCGGCCTTTTGTTAGCGGCCCCCACGGCCTTTCGTTAGCGGGCCCCGCGGCCTTTCGTTCGTGGGCCCCGAGGCCCCTTCGTTAGCGGGCCCGGCGGCCCCGTCGTTAGTCGCACGCACGCACAGCAGTAGCCGCCCGCACGAGCGACCCGTCGCCCCACCCGTTCCCCACCGTCGTAACCGTCGCCCCACCCGTTAGACGCGGCCCCACCCGCTGCCTTACCCGCCGCCCAGTCTGTTAGCCGTCGTCTCACCCGCGATCTGCCGCCCCACGAGCAGAAAACCGCCGCCACACCAGAAATCCGCCGCCCCAGGAACTGAAGCCCGCTCCTTAACCGCCCCCAGACCTGAAACACGACCCCTTACCACCTGAAAACCGTCGCCCCACCTGGTAACAGCCGCCCCAGACTTGAACCCGCCGCCCGAGACCTGCTAGAACCGTCCTAGCAGTGCCAGCAGCTGCTAGAAACGTGCTAGCAGCGCCAACAGCCGCTAGAACCGTGCTAGCAGTGCCAGGAGCTGCTAGAAATGCGCATCTAGCCCCACCTGTCCAGAAGCCCCACCTGTCCAGCAGCCCCACCTGTCCAGCAGCCCCACCTGTCCAGCAGCCCCACCTGTCAAGCAGCAGCTTAGGCTGCCCCCAGCAGAACCAGCAGCAGCATAGGCTGCCCCCAGCGCACCAGCAGCAGCTTAGGCTGCCCCCAGCAGAACTAGCAGCAGCTTAGGCTGCCCCCAGCAGAACCAGCAGCAGCGTAGGCTGCCCCCAGCAGAACCAGCAGCAGCACAGGATGCCCCCAACGCACCAGAAGCAGCTTAGGCTACCGCCGGCGCATCCCCTCCCGTTTCTAGCTACTCACATAGCGTGTACTAGAGTTCTACAGCAGCAGGGCCAGCCGCAGCACTCCCGGCAGTGGGGACCTGTGGGTCCAAAGTGTGGAGCCCCTAGCAGTGGCTCAGCTAGCAGTGGGCGAGACGTCGGCCCCTGCGGGTACCGGGCCCTGACAGGCCCTCGTGCTGGCACTACCTGCTGGAGTCCTGACCACTCTGCGTCCAGCTGCTACCGTCGACTCGACGACCTCCACCGTGAGCGTTTTGGTCCTCACGCTATTACACCGCACTGGCCCCCGCGACTTCGCCAGCGCACTGCTGCACCAGTTGAGTCTCACCTACCTGGTCTAGGACCTTTCCCGGCTGCACGAGTAGACACCTGTGTTTCCAGTCTTGGTGTGTGTGTTGTTTCTAGTCCAGGCGCCTCTGAGGGTCTTTGTGTAAGAGCTGCAACTACCACTAGTCTAGCACCAGCCTTTGTAGGTGGCTCGGGTGCGACCTCGCAGACTGCACAGCTTTCCTTCACCCTAGACTCTGGAGCGTCCAGCTGTTTCTTTCGCGACTGTACTGACCTCACACCACTGCGCACTCCAGACACTGTCGCCTTGGCTGACCCCTATGTGGGACCTGTAGTTGCCCGCAGCACCACCACTCTCCCGTGTCTGGCGGCTCCCTCTGGGTTCCTCACAGGTTACTACACCCCCTCGTTCTCCAGGAACCTGGTGGGTGTCAGTCACCTCCACGACCTAGGTGTAGTCACAACCTTCCCATTGGACGAGCCAGTTGCCTCCTGCACAGTCGGTACCACTGGGGCCCCTCTGGCCACTTTTCACAGGGAGCCGGGCTCTGGTCTGTACTCACTACACACTGGGTCCCACCACACTGGGTCAGGCCAGGTCAGGTCAGGTCAGGTTGCTGCTGTGTCGTGTGACTGTCGGTCCCTCACCCACCCGTCGTTCCTCTGGCACCACCGTCTAGGTCACCCGTCGTTCCCACGTCTCAGTAGGATGGCACGTTACCGTCTGGTCTCAGGTCCCCCAGAGTCGCTTGCCCCGCTTTCTCGCTCGCCTGCGCCGCCGTGCACTCCTTGCGTCGAGGGTCGGCAGCGCGCTGCCCCTCACTCCTCCTCGTTCCCCCCCACCACGGCTTCCTTCCAGACCCTGCACTTGGACGTCTGGGGCCCCTCCCTGGTCCTTGGCCCACGTCAGGAGCGCTACTTCCTGATTCTGGTGGACGACTACTCCTGCTACACCACGGTTTTCCCCTTGCGACGGAAGGCCGACGTGCCTACCGTCCTCGAGCCGTGGCTACTAGCGTGGGGTGGCGCCCAGGGTCTGTGTGGGCTTCGCCTACACTCGGACCGTGGTGGTGAGTTTTCTTCCACTCGCCTGGAGACGTTTTGTCAGGGTCGGGGGATCATCCAGTCTTACACGCTACCAGCCTCGCCTGATTCTCCAACATGGTGTGCTGAGTCTTTCAGCTAGTCACTCAAGGAATATATAGTTCACTTCATCACTGCACCACGCCTCATAAAACAAAGGCATCCAAGTCACAGGCGCATCCGAGCCGCTGGAGCTCTGGCGATGAAGGCCCAAAGTCTTCGACAAAATTAGTGTAATTGTCGTTTCATGAGGGAGGGTCTAAAGGGGAGGTGTCCATGCCAATGTTGTCAGTGGGGAGAACTTTGGTTCCTTTGCCAAATGAGGATCGTGTAGCACTGCCGGAATGTCACGTCAGACGGGACTACGGAGGCAACAAAGAAGGATGTGATTATGGCGAATCCTCCGGTGGTGATGCCTGCTGACACGAGAAGTTACTCAAATTCAAAGAATGAAGAGGAGGACGCAAAGGGTTATTTCAACGACGACCCGGAGGAGGCTTTGTTCCCTAGAGTGACGGGATTGGTTGCAATTAGGGTCCTTATTACTTTGACGCTGCTGATGCCATATATAATTGCGAGAGAGTTATTACGATCGAAGGCGACCGTCTTGGATCTACTGGGGTTTTGGAGAACCTTGTTGAGTGGCAATGTCCTGTAGAGTGCAAAGACAAAACATGATTGCCAACGTACCACTCCAAGAGGAAGTTTGGTCGCATACAAGTGGCGTTTTTAAGAGCATTTAGTGTGATTTTTGCATGGACGCATGAAGTGGAACATACCTGCATTGATGGGAACCGGGCTGTCCTCAACTCGCAGTACCCCGAGGATGCTTCCTTCTTTTGTAGGCGTGCTGCATACATGGGGTTTGTTGAGGTGATCTACAAAAGCGTCCATACTATGGTCTCACCAGTCATGATCCGTAGCATGATGGTGGAGGTCAAGCTGCTGCCGAGGGGTCCGTTTGCTTTTCGTGAGGGCCAGGGTTATCCATCGTGTCCCGGACCTTGTCTCGTGTCGTATACGAACAAGATTCGTGGCCTAGTGCGCCCTCATCACTATACCATGGGCGGTTCCAGTATAGGTACCACTGTCGTCACATGGTGCAGGATCCGAGTCAACAATAGAAGACACTGATGGTGCACTACCCACCTCTCCGTTGCTGCTTCTTACCGGGACATCATACTGGTTGTTATCATCATGATTATGTTACAGAGCGGTAGCACAACCTTGGCAAATGGAATCTAACCATGGGGAAGGTCCATGCAATCATAGGTATTGGTGGTGTCGCAAGTTTGAAACAAATATGCACGGCTGTCTTGCTGGAATACACACGAGCCCTCTGTCTTCTGCTCAAACCTTTTCGCAGCGGCATCGACCAAAGTGGCAGGCAGCGGTCCTCAAGGACCTGGGTATAACCTTGGTTTCCGCTGGGAGCAGTCAAAAGTGTAAACAGCGGGAATGAATGCATTGAGAGAAGTTTGGTACATATGCCTAACCCTAAAAGGGTCATACCCCTTGGAGGGTGCCCCACTACAGCCTACAAGCATATATTATGTTTTGACACACCCCGATAGGCAAAGTGGGGAACATCAAGAACAACAAGCGATCACAAGACCAGTCAAGATAAGCAACAAAGCAAAGCTCAGGGTGGATCTCAAGATCACCACACACTCCGAGCACAAGCAAGCGGCCACAAGGCCAGTTCACATGCAGTGTTATAATAGCACAAGCAGTACAGTGATCACTACCTAGCAAGAGTAGGCATGCAGGTATATATAAATCACAGTACAAGGCACAGTCACG